AGGTGAGTCGGAATCCCTCAAACCAGGGCTCTGATACCAACTTGTAACAACCCAATTTTCACGTCCGAAAATTTCATTTTAAAACATTACTTTAGAAAACATTAATAATTAAAAACATTGTTTGATCAAACCACAACACACGCAAACCATGTTTAAAAGCCAAACCATACAACCCATCAAAATATCAGAGTACAAATCCCAGTGAATCTCGTAAATGCGGAAACCAGAGTGTGTGCATGATGTGCCGCTACCGCGCCAGCTCCTTCCCCTTCGAAGAAGAGGTACCTGAAAACAAAACTGTAAAACGTAAGCACAAAGCTTAGTGAGTTCCCCCACTGTACCACATACCACATAATCACATAACATACATAAATTTGTCAGGCATATTTGGGTGCCCGACCTACCCCTTCGGTCCTCTCGACCGGATACTGCCTAGCATATCTGGGTGCTGGCCTCCCCTTCGGTCCTTTCGACCGGATACTGCCTAGCATATCTGGGTGCTGGCCTCCCCTTCGGTCCTTTCGACCGGATACTGGGGACTATTTCACCCCCTACTACTACCACATAACACATATATCACATAGTCTAACAACCCTAGATGAATATCACAAAGATAATAATCTAGTCACACATCTCCTACTGGTGGGCCGGCATTGTGGCCTTAGACCCACCGCTACTGGAAGGCAACTCACCTCAAAGTAGCTGCTGAACTGATCGGGAACTGACTGACTGTTGCTGCTGCTTCGAAACTTCTCCGACTGCAATTCCCACAACATACTTAATCATACACTGCTAACTGTCCTTTGGGTAAAAAGACCATTTTACCCCTGGTCTAGCCCTAAGTCAAATCAGAGTCAACTTTCAGTTGACCCGACTCGCCGAGTCCCTATCCAGACGATTGTCCTGGGTCCCTGATTCTACTCGTCGAGTTAGGTTATGACTCGACGAGTTCTTCTTCTAAACTAACATTGAAGTTCTTCGTCCTACTCGCCGAGTGGTATGAGCAACTCGTCGAGTTCATCTTCATCCGATGAACACTCATGCTTAGACTCGCCGAGTTGTATGAACAACTCGCCGAGTCTGTTCTTGGTCTATGAAGATTGTCGTGGACTCGCCGAGCCAGACCATGACTCGTCGAGTCCTACCATGGGTGAGTTCAGCTTCCAACTCACCGAGTCACCCCCTGTGACTCACTGCTCAAACTCGATACAGCATAAAGGGACCAATTCGGTGACCCGCGAGCCGACTCGCCGAGTCGTCGCCATGCATCCATTAAATACACCGATTTGTTCGATTTCAGTCCATGCTATTCATAGATCTGGGCTTCTAAGACACGAATCACACGTAAAGTTTCCAACTTTACGTGTAGATATTCACTAATATGGATTTTAGGGATCAAAATTCCTTGAAAGGGTAGATCTAGGATGAACAAGCCACATGGGTCCATAAAGCTAACAGATCTGAGCTCCTGGAGCTCAATCTTGCCTAGATCTAAAGGCCAATCCACTTATTACGAAACATTATGCACAAACAAGCTTGGGGAATTGCTCAAGAGTGTCTTAAATGAAATCTTAAGCATAGGAACAGGGGGGAAAAGGAGATATACCTCAATGAAACAGCTGAAGAACACAATGATGCTTGGATGGCTCTCCTTCCTCTTGATCTTCTTCCCCTTCTTGCCTCAAAACCTTCAAGAATACACACAAGAGCCTCAAACTCACAAGAAACGAGCTTAGGACGAGGGTTGGGAGCTCTGGGGGTGAATGGGGGCTGGCAAGGGGCGGATATGAGGTTTAAATAGGGTGCAAACCCCTGAAACTTAGGGTTTCATCCAACAGTGGCGACTCGCCGAGTCCAGGATATGGACTCGCCGAGTCGCCAACTTAAATGTGTCCTGGGTCTCGTCCCTACTCGGCGAGTCGGACCTATGACTCGCCGAGTCCAAGGCTAAAATAGGAAGTACTCAAATAAGATTTACATACCAGGAAGCAGGTGCTACAGTACTTGTATGTTTGCCTAGTAGTTGAGTGTGGGCGGGGCCCATATCTCATAGCAGCCGAGTGTGGGCGGGGCCCGTATTTCCTAGTTAGTGGAGTGTGGGCGAGGCCCGTATCTCCTAGTTGCATGTTATATGTGTATGGTATGTGGTAGTTTGGGGGGGGGGATCGCTAAGCTTCATGCTTACAGTTTCGGTTTTGGTTTCAGGTACGTTAGCTAGCAAGGAGAAGGGCTCGAGTTGATGACATGACACACACCACAATTTGTCTTAGCCTGGGAGCTTACTCTGATATTTATTATGAAACAATTATATATTGACAGATTCTATGAGATTTTAAGATACACGTTTGATGATTTGATTTTGTGATGATAATATTATGTCTGTTAAATGATTTCAAAAATGAAATTTTTGGCTTGTATTTTTGGGATGTTACACTAGCATAATATGCCAAGCTTTTTGATGACTAAATGGTTTACCACCATTGATGATTTTGTATTCTTGAAAAGCGGTGCTTAAAGGCTGAAATCACTACACCATTTTTCCTTTGTCCCTTCATTGCCTTCTTGATGATTGTGGTTGTGTTTCTAGCACCATTTAGACATCGTCATGAGGATATTTAGGTTGGGCAGGTGGCAGTTGGGAAGGTTGAGTTTGAAGTTGTTGAAATTGTGATTGCTAGAATTGTTGAAATTGGTTTGGTGTTTGGAAAATGTTTGGTTGTTGGAAGTAGTTTTGTTTGTATGCAGGGCCGGCCCAAGGGTTGGGCGAGATGGGCCACAACCCAGGGCATCAACTAAATGAGGGCAACAAAATTTATAAAACTATTATGGGTGCATCTCATTTCATTTGGGCCAAACTTGAAATAAAATATAAAAGTCCAATACAGGGGATTAAGGGATTAAGGGAAGCGCGACCTAAAGCAGAACTACTGTGAAGTGAAGGCGGCAATTGAACATTTTAACCTGATAAAAATCTCTCGCCTATACTCTTAACAACAGAAAACGAAGAGACGGGGCAGAAGTCGAGGAGACGGTGAGACATGGAAATGGGATATAAGATCTAGTTGTATAGGAAGAAGTGCATAAAAACTCACACCTTTGTCCTTGGTTTTTCTCTAATTCTTTTCCAGATCCGACCACCACCACACCCGGTCGATCTCTCATAGACGACGATCTGTTAGCAAAAAATATATTCTTTTAGCATACTCTTTCTCTTATTCTTCATGTTTTGATTCTAGATATTTCTATGATTCTTCATGCCGATTGGCCTCGATTGAAGATTTCATTGGATGCAAAGGAACCAAAATTATTTTCGTTGGGTTTTTCTTTTAGCATTTCGGTATAAATTAAAATTTAAATATCCTCGCCTGATACTATGTATCCAGCATTTCATTCCTTAGTTTCAAGTAATTCATATTTCTTGTAAATGTTTGTTTCATGCCACTGAGCGAATGAATAGAGATTTAATGTTACGAGTTCCATGTCTAATTTATCTTTCTCAAATTGTTTATCATCTATGTTCCCTTTTTTATGTTTAAGTAACAATTATGCTGATGGAAACACAAAATGGTCTTATCTACCTTTGCCATATCATAGATTTTACAAAATATCTTACTATTGTGGTCTTAGTGTTCAATGTCAAAATTAAACATCAACTTTTTTTTTTCATTGATTTTATTTCAATGGCATATTTAAAAAATATAACATATTCAATCGTTTTTCCTGTGTACTTTAATTACTAAACTTGAGTATGTGAATATGATAAAATTGCAAGACAACCGGTTTGGCCATTTGGTTTAAAGTCAATACAATTTTGATAGGAGTGCCCCCCTCCAAAAGTATGTTAGGGTGATAGATCATGATTATTTTATATTTCCTTTCCTTCGTGAGGTGATTGTGTAATTTGTTTGTGAGTGAAACTTTGATTACATAGGCATGTTAGGATTTTCATCCTTCATACATGTAATTTGTAATGAAAATTAAGAATCAGAATCATCATATGGAGATCGAGGGAAGTGTTGGGAATGGTTTTAGGCTTAGAACTATAAAAGCAATCTTAAACTATACCAAATGTAATTTCCATTAATCATATCTATGGATTACTATGACTCAAAACATTCACAAATAATGTTTCTTACACACTTAAAATTTATATAGAATTGGTAAAAAAGGGGCATAAGTAAACATCTTTGCCCAGGGCATAGTAAAACAATTGACCGGCCCTGTTTGTATGGTTGTTGGAAAATAGGTGATTGTGGAATTTGTGAGTTTGTTCGGAGAAGCATATTCATGAAACCTCTTGGTGATGATTCAAAATTCAGATATTAGCAAGGTGTTATGTTGAATGTGAATGTGTCGGTAGGCGAAGTAAGTGTGTGTCGGGTGTTTGGATTTTAACCCATTTTTAGGATTATAGTATAGAGAGAAAGAAATGAAAGTATGGTATGTTCTAGTGTAGAAGTTTTATTGGTATTTATAAATTTAGTTTAGAAGATTATTCTTAAAAAAAATTGTTTCAAACGGTCAAATTTGAAATAGTCATAATATCTCTCATTTATATTGCATCGTAGCAGCAAGCAACCATGATTAGTCACACTTACGCTGCATGGGGGTGGTAACCGAAAGAAAATCACATGTAACTTCTTGTGCCAACTTATCATACACATAGCAAAATAGCAACATTTTGTTTAGCCTAATATAAAATTGCTTACGAAAATCAAATAATTAATTCTAATCATCTCAAACTCCAAAAATGTTATTCTAAAAAAAAACTACATTCTCCGATCGATTAAATAAATTATATCTAAATATCTTCAAAGATTTTATTTAATAGGAATTAAGAAAGTGTAGGTTTTTCAAAACAAAAGGTTGATTTATTATTATTATTATTATTATTATTATTATTATTATTATTTTGGTTTGGATAAAATTTTCGTTTTTTTTGCAACGCTACAAAAGTTTTGGGGTACAAAACTTAATTAATATTTTGTTGGGGGGTGAAAAATACAATCTGGGTGAACATATTCTGAATAAACGCATCCAACGAAAATAGGGGTTTTGCCAAGAGGTACAGCTCCGCTGAAACAAGGGTTTCTTGGAGGAAGAAGATAACAGAGAAATCAGACATCCACAGATGGGAACCACCCAAGTCGAGAAGACTGAACAAGAGCTTCGGAAGGAGATCGAAGAACTCCACCGTCAACAATGGGAGGTATGTATAAAGATCCTAGGCGAGTTTGTTAATTTCTTCATGTATGCACACCATATGTTTGATAGATTACTCCGTGTAAAGATTACAGAGCGGCTTCGTGATCCTAGAGGTATCCGTCGTGGAGGTATGACTGCTTCTGGTCCACGTAATTTCGCCGCCGGTGGTCCAGCTCGTCAGCGTGGTTTTGTTAGACCTGTAATTATCTCATCCATTCCACACTCTATCAATCGTTTACTGCTTGTTTGTTTATCGATTAACTGTTTATTTCGTATAGGCGGATAGGAACGATTCAGAAGATCAACCTGCCCCAAAGAGGCGACTTTCTTCCACTGTTGTGAAGGTACGCGAGACGTAAAACACGAATTTCTAGTCGTTACTAGTTTTGATTTCTACTTTCTAATGTGAAACTCTTCTGGATTGTGAAGATTGAAGAAGGGGAGATCATCGAGGATGCTGTGGATGCTTCAAAGGGTGACGATAGCAACAAAGAAGCAACTCCATGGGGAGGCAATGCTGAGAACCAGAACAATAAGAAGACATCAAACTGGGCTAGGAGGGATGGCACTAATAGAGCATTCAAGGTTGTACATTTTGAAATATTTATTGTGGATTTAGTCATTTAGAGTCTAAGTGACAATTGTTTGATACTTTGATGTATGCTTATTCTGTTCTGATTTGATTAGGATTCTGAAGTTCCTCCATTTGAGAATGTTCCTAGAGTGTTACCAAAAGATGAGGACCCTAGCTTGGTTAATAGGAATAGAAGAATGTTGGGACAACTCCTTGGAACTTTGGAGGTAAATATTTATTGCATTTGTCTTTCTTGAATCTTGTTTCTATGGCATGATTAAATTTATTGTGTTTACTTGTTGATTTTCAGAAATTTAGAAAAGAAGACGTGAAACTGTCTGGATCAGAGGCGTTTATGAGGAGATCCGATTCTTTGAAAAGAGTGAGTTTATTTACATATTTGTCCTTCTTATATCCTCCTCTATCTTCCCTAGCTTTAGCCTCGAGGGTTGGGGACTATATTGTAATTTTGATCACTTGACATAGGCCGAGCAAAGAGCACGTGAAGAAAGTGAAAGATTGAGGCAACAAGAACGTGAACAAATTGCGGAGAAAAGGCGAAGAGACTTGGTAGGTTATTTTGTCTTTTTGCAATAAATAACAATGTATTTCTATTTATTATTTGTTTAGAATGGAATCTTACTTATATTCCTTCGTATTAAAGTAATGTATTTTGAAAAATCTACTACTCATTTATAAAAATTATTGAATTTTCACTGCTATAAATTGGATAGAATTTCCAAACTACAATGTCTTAATAAAGAAAGCATTCAAAGCACAATGTTATAAAGTTATAAACTTATAATAAGTAGGTTTTTCAAAGTACAATGTTGTAATAAAAAGAAATGAAAATATAATAAAATAATAAACAAAAAAAATCAAAGTATGTTGTTATTTGACTTATTTCATGTATATAATTCTTTATTTTTACAGACTCTTAGAGCACGAGTTGCTGCTAAAGCAGAGGAGAAGAAATTGGAACTGCTGTTTCTTCGGTGGAGTGAGCATCAAAAAAAACTTGGCAATTTTTTAAGGTTTGTAACTTTGTATAATGTATACGATTTTAATGTGTTTTTTTTGGTTAAAACTCCATATAACTTTACTAAATTGAAAAGATTCTAACTTTGGTTAATTTTTTTTATTTTTTATTACAGGTTATTTCTAATTTTGGTCCAAAAAAGTATCCATATTCACAATTTTATTGAGACAAAGATAAGTTTCTTCTCAAGTGGATGACTCGAAGATTCCTGGCTGCAGAATTTCTAGGTTAAATATATAAATATTGTGTTATAAAAACAAGCTCATTTTATATTTTTTTGCTGGATTTTATTTTTTTCAGGACCAAAACAGAGCCTGCTATTTATTATTCATTTGCAAAACCGCTTGATCAAGATTCAACTTTACTTGAGGAAAAGAAAGAGCAGGTGAGCTTCTTGCTATATTTTTATATTTGTGTGCAAAAAAAAAGTATAATATTATACAAAAAATGAAGTAAGCAAATATGTGGCAATGTTGCAAGGATGCAGCCTGCAGGTGCATAATGCATAGATGCTAAAATAATTTACATTTTTGGTCCTTGAGTATAGCTGATTTTTGCAATTTTGGTCCCAAAAAGTCATATTAATTGGAACAGGGACCAAAAATGTCACAATAACCTTTAATAAGGGACCAAACTTGCAAAAATCTTTTGGGACCAAAATTGAACAAATCAGTTGTACTCATGGGCAAAATTGTAATTTGCTCTACAAATAATAAAACGTCTAAATATATGGTTATGTTGCAAAAATGAAGGTACCTAATACTCTAGATACTAGAGTAAATTACAAACTTGGTCCCTGAGTATTGTTGATTTTTGTAATTTTGATTCCAAAAACAATTTTCTTGTAATGATGGTTTTATTTGAGATTATTGTAATTTTTTGGTCTCTGTTCCAAGTAAATAAAATGACTATTTTGGTCCATGAGTATTTGATATTTGCAAATTTGGTCCCTAATTAGTCATTTTACTTGGAGCAGGTACCAAAAACATTATAAAAACCTTAAATAACGACCAAAATTGAAAAAATCATTTATACTCAAGGACCAAAAATGTAATCCTTTATTTGTATATTCTCATATTAATTTTATGTCTCTTTGATAGGCATTTCAAGAATGGAAGGCTATGAGGAGAGAGGAATTATCTCAATACCAAAACCAAATTGTTGAAAAGTATGTTGCCAATGTGGAAAAAGAGCTTGACAGGTGGCAAAACGGGAGAAAACCAAGAAACGGAGGAAACAACAATGATACATTAAACTTACAAGAAACAATGGACAAAGAGCTTGAGACACATAGACTTGAACATGGGCCCAAGACACGTAAGATCCCAGGTGGCGATGCCAACGAAGATGAGGATGACGTGGAAGATATGAATGTTGGGGAAGATGACATGATGGATGATGTGCTGGATGTTGATGATAATGTGAAGCCTGATGCAGGCGATCCGAGCCCACCGGAAAATAAAGATTAAATATAATTATTAAGGTCGTGGAATTGATTTTGTTATTTTATTGATGTTATGAGTGTGGGCATGTGTACTTTTTTTTTTTTTTTTTTTTTTTTTCTTTTCTTTTGGGAGTTTTGTTGTAATTGAATGATTTGGTGGTATTTAAGGGCGCATTAAAGATATTATAGACTTGGACACAAATTATATGGTATTATGGATGAATTCAGATAAGAAAATATACCTAAAATATAATAATTGCATCTGTTACTTTTAAGACAAACAACGAAATAGTTCATCAAAGTACTTTTTTTTTGTTCCATTTTGGCCTCTCTTGTTTGTTTTTCTTTTTGTCTGATGTTGGTGTTTTTTTCTTCCTGTTTTACTGGTTTGTGTTGGTTTCAACATGCGGCATGAATATTTTTTCATAAATTAATTATGCGGAATAAAAATAATGACATGGAATTTTACACATCATATAAGCTCGTAATTAGTGAGATTGTTGAAGTTCTACATGTTTTCAAACTGTTCTACAATAGTGATCGGTAAATGACATTGGCTTTGTAGGAAAGGCACTACTTCAAAGTTCAAACTTCATAGATTACATCTATTAAGGTATTATGTTTTAGGCTGTGTTTAACGTGTATAGTTGATAAGTTAGTTTATTTTTTCAACTTTTTTAAGTTGTTATGTTTGATGAGACAAAAAATAGCTTTTTAAGTTGAAGTTCTAACTTTTTAAAAAACTACTTGGAGTAGTTTTTTTTTTTTTTTCAAAAATAATCCTTAATTAATTATAGAAATGCACTCTTTTAAATGTCCATTTAAATCATTTTATATTTTTCATATAGTTTAACCAAACAATATTTTTTATCAGTTAGTTTTTCGGCATCAGCTGTGCGCCAAACATAATCTTAGTGTTTGTAGAAGATTGAAAATTTAAACACTAATCTTAGCAATAAAAATCGATGCATGCACAATGTAAAATTCCACAAACATTGGTGTTGCTGATTCACCAATATGGATCATAATTATTTTCTTGTTTTTCTTCATGAAACACTTATTTCTATAATCCGCAATGTGTATTAATGTATTCCAAACAAACCAAATTATAAAGGTCTTAGACTCTTGAAGTACCGAGATTCTTATAGAGCATGTGACTGAAAATGGGGGTAGATCAACATGAAAGTCAAGTACACGATCAATCCTCAAGTTCCTCAAGTCAAGTACAACATGAGGGTGATACTCATGATGAATGGTATTAAATGATATAATGTTTCAATCGATCTTTGAGCCTGAAGTTTATAGGTAATGTTGAACACTCATACCCTTTCTTGAATGAACTTGTGATAAACATAAACTTTGAGGACAAAGTGGACAAAGTACCAAAACGTTATCCTACATAAAATTGGAAGGATATTATTCCAATTGTTGGCATGATATTTGATAAAAGAACTTAAAACATATTCTTACAAACCTTCAACCGCAAATAGATATGATATGAGGCATAAGACAAAACACCTGTTAAATGTTCGATGTAGGAGCAGAAATCCACTCTCAATTTGCTTCCTAGATGAGCATCGAGAAAAAGCTTTCAAGTTAAGACATTAACTGATAAACACAATTGTTCTAAACATTTTACCTATATGATTTTTTTATTCTCCAAACTCCAACTAATTGAAATGTTTGATTCCTTTCCACAATCACATCGATAAGGATTTTATTGAGATTCAGTTTCGTTATCACAGCTTCTTATGGTCGATATAACATTAGTTATATGTTAAGATTTTTTTTATTTTTTTTTATTTTTTTAAATGATGTAAGATTAATGTACCATTTGTTATATTTCAAGAAAATTACAATCGATCCAAATACATGTATTTTATTATGATTAAGTGTTTATATAAAGATGGTTAATGTCATAAATGATTAATGAACCATATGAAATATTAAAAAGTATTATTGTTTCAAACGTACCAAAAGGTAAATAAGCAACTCAATGTTTTGTATATAAAATACCATTAAAATAAGAGTGTTTTTAAAAAAAGTCCGATAGTTTTTAAGCAACGATGTTTAGTACAAAAAAGCAAAGAAAAATGCTCTTTAAGAAAACATAACACGACTATTTTCTAAGAGAAAAAATTACATCAAAAATATAATATATTTTAAAAAATTCTTATTTTTAAAAATCGTAGTAATATTAACTACGGATATTTCTAAGGATGTTTTACATCTTTTTATTTTTTATAATTACATTTTCTATCCTATAGTTAAATTCTAGGTGGTTAACTTTTCAACGTACATTTAGAACTTTTGATCGTTAATTTTTTATTTTTTATTTTATTTTTATTTTTAATTTTTTTTATTTTATGTATGTATATATCGGTATAAATTCAAGTTTGTTTACGTTTTGACGTAATTTTGTGTACTCTTCCTATGTATAAGTCGGATCACATATAATACATTTTAAATTATTTGAATTTCGATTCATTAACTTAAAAAAATCTTATTCAACTGTTATAAAAACTTAAAAAAAAAAATATTAATTACTTATTTTTATGTACATATCGGTATAAATTCGAAATTCTTTGTGTTTCAAAGTAAATTTTATGTACCTTTATGTGTTTACTTTTGTATACGTTTCATACGTATGAGTTGGCCAAATACAATTCATTTTTCATTCGACAGTGGAGTTATACTATATAATAAACCTAAGTGTCGGGACACTTCTTTTTGTTCGACTTTAGTCCTGGCGTTTTATTTGTTGTCATTTTTGGTCCTTGTTTTTGTGATGTAATATATATGTGGCAAAATTTAGTTACATGCACCGTTTTATTTGCTCATTTTGGTTTTCTCTAATTTTAGGATTTTTTTTTGTGCCGCTTGCACACAAGAAAGACAATATCACAGTTCTTAATATTTCGGAGATCATTGTCACTCTAATATTTTCGAAAAACAGTATTTATGATATGTTTGTTATTAATTAATAAGGTTATTAAATTCAATTTTTTATTTTAAAAAGCAAAGTCAATATATCCTCACTCTCACTCCACTTATTCCACTTTTATTTTCTCATAAAGTCAAAAGAAAAGGTGTGGGTCCTTCCTTCATAGCTTACCTTTACACCCCCCTTGACAACCCCTTCGCCGGAGACCGGACTACCATGACCTCCCGCTACTATCCCAGCTCTTCCTCCTCCTCCGCCGCCTCAATCAAAGGCTGTTGCTGCTGCCTCGGCCTCCTCTTCTCCTTCCTCGCTCTCCTCTCCCTCGCCATTATCCTCGTCATCGTCCTCGCAATCAAACCCAAAAAGCCCCAATTCGATCTCCAACAAGTCACCGTTCAATACATAAACTTCGCCGCCACCAATTCCTTCACCCCCGCCGTCGATTCCCCCAGCTCCGCCTCTCTATCCCTCGTCATACGCATGCTTTTCACTGCCAAAAACGAAAACATAGCCGGGATCAAGTACCGCGATTCCACATTCAATATCATGTACCGTGGAGTCCCATTGGGTCGGGGCACAGTACCCGGGTTTTACCAGGCGGCTCACAGTGTGAAGAACGTACAGACGACTGTGTCGGTGGATCGGGTGAGTCTGTTGCAGACGGATGCTGCTGAATTGGTGACAGATGCTTCTGTTAATGATCGGGTGGAGCTTCGGATCATGGGTGATGTAAATGCTAAGATTCGGGTCATTGGGATTACTTCGCCCAGTGTGCAGGTTAGCATTTTACCCTTTATCTTCCTTCTAGAATTAGGGCATTGTGTCAATGGTGCATTGTTGCTTGCGTTTTGTTTTACTAGTATTTTAGTCAAACCTCCACATGCCTTCTTGCTAATTTACGCGGGTTTTTTGGGGTTGCATGTGGTGCTATCGTGCTCCTGCTCCCATCTTGAATGATTTTCTCGGTTTGAATCAGAGAGTAAATGCATGGATATTGTTTAGATATTATTTATTGGAGTTATTGTTTCCTTTTTGTTTTTTCAGTAATTAAAATTTGATATTATTTTTCATCTCTATGGAAAAACATTACTAATATTTAAGAAAATATTAAAAATTCATATTTATCCTTTTTAATATAGTTTTTACTTACATTTGAAAGATAATTCTTGAAGTTGTAAAAAACAATTTCTAGATATCTTTATTAGTTATAGATAAGCATCTTTCTAAAGTAAATAAATAAATAAATAATAATAAAATGTTTTTTATTTTGTACATATTTGGATTTGCAGGTATCTATAGATTGTTCAATAGTGATAAGCCCAAGTAAACAATCTCTAATTTCCAAGCAATGTGGATTCGATGGTTTGCAAATATGATGAAGCAATGTGGAATAATCTTCCTCTAATCTTTTATATATTAGTTAAAAATTTTGCAAAAAAGGAAAAATAGAATAAAATGAAGATATATGTAATTCTCTAAATCTTTATTATTATTATTATTATTATTTTTTATTTTGATTTTCAATTTTGTTCTTAAAATGTTTCTTCGCGAAAACGGCTAGAAGCAAGAAGTGTTCTTTTTTTTTTTTTACATCTTCATAATGTATTTTTGTTTCTTGATCTAATGTGTATTTTGCATCCATGATCAACACACTTGAAGAGCCCTAGAATATGGATACACACCAATCTTGATTTATATCCCTTTGACAACGTTTCGTATGGTAAATGGTAATGCATATAAGCATATTTTTGTTCAAATCACGTATCCATCACAACATTAAGTTTCGAATTTCAAATTATCTTTATTAGTTCACTTTGTGGGTCACTACACACAACAAATATACAAATAATGGCCAAGTGTTCTTTAGGTTAAACATAGAAAAACATAAAATCAGTACCAAATCAATATAAATAGTGAGGTTAAATCTAATCTAAATCCTAAAGGTTGGGTCTAAACCTTAATCACTAACATAAATAAGGTCTCATATTACATATGAAGTGCATAAATGGTACCTTTACCTACGTCACTATCCATATTCCTATGCATATGTCTATGTTTACACTCATATAAATATATCAATGCCTATGTCCATGCTTATGTTTATCACTTTATGTCTATGTCTATGCATGATGCTTACGCCTATTCCTTTGTCAATGTCTATTTTGTGTCTGTATGCTTACACACACACAAACACACACACACACACACATATATATATATATATATATATATATATATATATATATATATATATATATATATATATATATATATAGTCAAGATCAAATAAGAAGGAAATTTTTGATAGGAAGGTAAGAAGTTTTTTTTTCTATATATTTTTTCGCGAACAAACAAAATGAATCATTAGATGATTCATTTGAAAGATGATTCACAAGAAAAAAATTTCAAAAAAACATCTCGATGATTCATTTTTAAATAAATTAAGAAAAAACCCACTTTTATGACAATTTTAGTGAATAACAACAAAATCATCTTTCAAATTAATCATCTAATGATTCATTTTGTTTGTTCGCGAAAAAAATATGTAGAAAAAAAACTTCTTACCTTCCTATCAAAAATTTCCTTCTTATTTGATCTTGACTCTCTCTCTCTCTCTCTCTCTCTATATATATATATATATATATATATATATATATATATATATATATATATATATATATATATATATATATATATATATATAATTTTGTTATAGAATATTCTTTAAACTTAAGCTCTTATTATTTGTGTGTTTTTGTTAGATGGTTTTTGATATTGTAGTAAACTCATCTATCCCCTCATGAAGTCACCATTAACATATGAACTATAAGATACATCTATTTTTAATAAATACCTAGAAGCTGAAAAAAAAACACAAACTAATAAAGATGAATTATAATTAGAATATATTTTCAATTCTATGTGTTTCTTTTTTATTATATACTAAAATTGGACACCATATCATATTTTCATAATTTTTTCAATCATATATATTACAAATTAAGAGCATACATCTTCTTCAACAACGTATTACATTAAATTAAAATATAGGCATCTTTGTTTTTGCTCTAAATGTACAACAAAAACGTTTTCTTGAAATCTAAATGAAGTAGATGGAAAAATGTGGATATAAATTGAAATCGGGAAAATAACTTAAATCGCTTTTAATCTTTCAAAATCTTGATTATCATACTTGTATTTAGTTATTTCTAATATATTTGATCATTCAACTCGTATTTCTTAAATTAAATGGCTATAGATCCCTTTCACCTTCAATCTTACGACTAGAGCTTAATATATATGTGCACCTTCTTTTTCATTTTTATAAACTGTAGATAACAATAATCGAAGGAAATGTAAGGATTCAAACATGAAAATAATGTTTAGCCAAAAATTTTCAATTAAGCAAACATATAATTAGTAGGACTTGAAAATGTGAAAGTTATATATATATATATATATATATATATATATATATATATATATATATATATATATATATATATATATATATATATATATATATATATATATATATATATATATATATATATATGACCTCTCATATGAGATGGTGACTCCATACCGCTAGACCATTAGCCATTTAGTTTAAACTAGGTAAACATATCCACTTACCTTGAATTCTATTTTTTTTCACTGCAAAACGTAAACCTTCATTACAATTATTATTTTTCTTCATGATTTAAACTATTTTGATTATCAGCTAAACAATAAATTGTCACATTTCACCGTTTAAATCATTTTGATTATTTTTCTCTATAGATGTCATCACATATACTAAACACATATGGTTATTGCATAAGAAAGGAAAACAAGGAATCACAATGAATTTAGATTATGTTTGTGGCCTCACGAGCTCAAGCGTGAGTGTTACAAGACCACATCTTACGATATAACGGTATATGTGGTATGGATTTAGATTATGTTTGTGCTTTGGCCTGTCTTCATGATACGATTCCAGAATTTGATTTCGGCGATTTCACTAATAAGAACACCACCCCTCCATAAGCCTAACATTCATTGGCGAGTGCCATTTTTAGTAAAATTGTCAAAGACATGGAAGTTCACTGCAACATGACGATTAGGCAGAAAATAATTTTTAAGTGTCTAAGGGCCCCACATGCTTAGGATTTTTTTATGACTATTCCTATTGACGGTCTGTGCCGGCATATGTCGCTAGTGGAGTATCATGTTATCCTCAAGTATCGCCTTATGATCCCTTTATTTCCGGCTGACGAGACTTGCACTGTTTGTCGCAAGACATGCTTGGACTCATTTAGGGAGCATGCAGTTTATTGCAACGAGCTCACGGGTTTCAAGTACTGATACGATCTGGTTAAGGATGTTCTTTTTGACATATTTAGGCGTGCTGTGGTTTCTGTCAAGAAAGAGGCACTTTCGAATTTTCTGATTGATCCATTGGAAGGAAGATCAACACTTATACCAACTGATGTTTTAGTATTTGGATAAGCTGGAGGAAAACATACATGCGTGGATCTAACATGGGTTTCTCCTCTTGTGGGCTTGAGGAGTGGGGTTTTCACTGTAGGACAAAATGCTTTAAAAGCTGCATCAAGTAAAGTGACAAAACATGAGAAAGCGTGTCTGGAAAATCAACACATGTTTATACCCTTTGCATTTGATACTTTCGGTTTCCTTGCGCCAGAAATTGTGGAGCTACTCAATAGGGTCCTATGGGTCATGCATAGTAGTGTCATGACTCCTAGATATATAGATATTGTTTTCCAAAGAATTAATTTTGCCATCCAAAAAGAGGTTGTGACACAGTTTGTCGCTCGTTTACCCGTTACGTCTATGAAAAACTTTCTTCTTTATTTAATACAAATATTTGGTAATGTAAGGCAAAAAAAGTACTTATTTTAACAATTACTTTTAAAATGAAACCAAATTACAAATTTTTAAGAGAAATGGTTGCTTTTTTAATATGAACTAGATATTAATTAGGTTAAAAGTGATTAGTTAAGGAGATGAAATCAAATATAGAGTTCCATATACAAAACACAATTAGCCAAAAAGAGATAAATAGATGTAGAGTTCGATATGTCTTCACACAGGTGAGTAAATGGAAGTCAATCATTTCTCTTAAAATATGCAATTTAGTTTTTTATGCTACATGTATTAGCAAGGGCGGATTTAGGCGGGTTCCGGGGTGGCACCGACAACCCCTAAATTTTCCGGCCGCAGTGGAAAAATTTTCGAAAATTTTTAAAATTTTTATTTTTTCTACTATCGTGCAATCACTAATCTTCTCGTGCAACCCTTACTATGAAATCCTGCATCCGCCCCTGTGTATTAGTTGTGTGTGTGTGTTTTTTTTCCCCACGTGACAATTCACAAAATGTTAGTTACTAAGGAACTACATATATTTGCATCGACGATCTAAAACATGGAAAATGCCACTCACTAAACATGTACGGTTTGCCCCTGCGGATATGTGTTGACCTTAACATATAAACCTTTTACAAGCATTCAAGTCTCCAACATACATCCATGTTGAAATCCTTTTCTAGGTCCGGATCTTTAACACTCCAGGTTACAAACAATTAACCAAGTTTAATAATTAATAACTACAAGAATCATTAAATATTTGAAATGTTGTATATCCAATAAACTACATATACCGGTACGTTCATATCCAAACAAATATACGTACACATACTCAACCAAAATATATAACAACAATAATAATAAGTTAATAACCATGTCAATTAGTTTCTTTCATACTGATTTAAATTATGATAAATGGGTCAAGTGGATAAGAAAAACATAGCAAAATAAATAATGATTCCGATATTTGTAAAACATCAAAGGAACTATTTAATTTATCCAAAAATCAAATATTACTTTAACACATTATTATTTGTAAAATTTATAACATTATTATTCTTTAAATTTATAATAATAAAGACACAATTTTAGGCCCAGACCGGCCAGGCCCACTATAAGTTGGGCCTTATCCAGATTTTGCCTTTACTTTTTCTAACAAGTCAAAAATCAGCAGCAAAAGAGAGCATTGTTGCATTGCAGTGCAGAGTGCAATGGATTTCTCTCAACTCACAGACGCAATGGCGTCAAGATCGTACGACAAAGTCGCTGATATCTGCGATCAACTTATGCTTCAGGTAACATACATATGAATCTGTGTAATGATCGTTGTGCGCTAATCGTTGCTTACTACTACGACTGATTGTGTTTTGGGTTAGATTTGAAACCCTAATTTTATATCTGCTGGCTTGATTTCAATCTTACTCTTACTTTCTTTCCTTTTTTCATGTAGATTGCTTCACAAGGCGTTGCATTTCAAGACGAATGGCCGTATGCCGTTCATCTTCTAGGGCACATTTACCTTAATGATCTGTAAGTTTAGACAATTTGTTTCTTTTTCATGTATTCTATCT